GCGCCCCCCCCCACTCCCCCAGAGCCAGTGCCCCCCAGCACAGCCCCACAGGCAGCCCCCCCACCCTAGCTACAGTGCCCCCTGCTGGGAGACTGGGACTAGAGCAGTCAAGAAGCCCTGCACAGCCAGTGGATGGAAATGGAAGAGAGCCCAGAGGCAGAGGACGGCACTGACCGACCCAGAAGCATTCGTTTACCATCATCAGGCCCCTGCAGAATGAGATACCGGGTCGTCTGGGCACCGCTATCCTCCGCGCTCGTCACTGCGATGCAGCCTAGGAGGAGAATGGAGAAGAGGGTGAAGGGGCAGATGAACTACCAAGAGCAGGCATTCGTTCAGGGAGTCAGGGTGGGGCGGGGGGAGAAAGGAAAGCTAGCTGGAGGCTGCACGGGTGCTCACGCGGTGAGCTCAGGACGGAGGGAGGATCCCGGCAAGCCCTTTCCCAGCTAGAGGGAAGGCAGGGAACAGCAGGCACTGCTTCCAGTGGTCAGGGCAAGCTGGGGGCAGTCTTCCACTAAACGGCGTTTCCTTTTTTGGACCAAGTCACTTAGCTACAGCAGCGGCCCCTTGCCCGGCCCTGGGCACACGTGCCTGGGACTCCGGGGCACTCACTCTGGATGATGTCCGGCCCAATCGTGGATTCGATGATTTTGTCTATGGCCGAGCCCAGGTCTGAGGAGGTGGATGCAGTGCAGTCCGACACCACTGTGGCCCCATCGGTGATGACGCTGGAGTGAACCAGCACCTGTGGGGACTCCGATACCATAACGGACTGGCTCACGGTGGAGACGCTGGAGACCAGGGTAGACTGGGCGATAGAGGAAGAGTCTGGCAGGTAGATCCTCTGAATGGCATCTGTGCTAGAGCTGCTCTCCGACACTTCCTCCTGGGGGACAGACAGGTCGGGGAGCACAGCTCAGAGGCCTCTAGCAAGCCTCCTCAAGAGCCAGTCAGCACCCTGCCTTGCAAGGGGGCGCCTGCCCAGAAGACAGGCCTGCAGGGCCCTACAAGAGGGTGACAAGCGATAGCTTTTCTGGCTTCTGCTGATGACCCTGCAGCCCTGTGGTGTAGCTGAGACACACCCTCAGACACAAGCTGCAGGTAGGCAGAGCTCTTCCCCTGGGTGTGGGACAGACCTGACGTGTATCTCAGTACTGTTACTGTAGACAGAGCAGGCCCATGGTCACCCTGCCCTCTGGTGTGTAGGGCTGGCTCCCACTTAGCCGGGGCAGTGGGTCAGAGAGCCTACTCCCTGAAGGAGATGATCCGTGTTCTCAGTCTGACAATGTAATCCGACAGCCACCACGTCACTTCCATCCCCAAAGGGTCTCCAGACCTCCTCCCTACCAGAGAGCCCCCGCTGCTGTCGGAGCTCTGCCCCACGCCAGAGTCGTCCGCTTCGGAGAGGATGGGCACGAAAGCAGCATCGCTGCTGTCGGCAGACATGGCCTCAGAGGTCTCCACGCCAAGCCCGCTCTCCGAGGGCTCTTCCTGGGCCAGAGGAGGGGCCGCATCGCTGCTGCTCTCCACTTCGTTCTCCTCCATCTCCATGCTCAATCTGCCTGGGTCCCTCAAGTGAGACCTAGGCAAGAGGAAGCGCTGCAGTCAGTCCTGCTGTGCGCTCAGGGCACACCATCCCGCCCGCCAGGGAGGAGTGACAGGGTAACTGGCATACAAGAGAAGTGTAAACGAGGGGTCTTAACATGCATTTATTAGGTAAGCGTGTAACCGCTGACATTTTCAGATACAGAGGCAGCAGTGTGGGGGTCGGGGGAGGCTGCTCCCCTGGTGCCGCTGCCTCTGATATAGAGGCAGCTGGGCCAGAGGAGAGGGGGGAAGAGGGGCTGCGTGTAACCGTGCATGTTAACCAGTTAACCTTGGACACGTGCACATCCCCAGCATTAACACAACATACGCATCCCGATGCACGCAGCAGGGCTTCAGTCCTTAGGGAAAGGAGGCATCAGAGCACAGTGAGCTTTAGGCCCAGGTCTGCGCTACACTTTAGCGTCTGATGAAGACACTTTATGCCAATGGGCGAGAGCTCCCGTCAGCTTAATAAGTTCCCCTCTGCAAGCGACAGTAACTATGGGGGCGGGAGAAGCGCTCTGGCAGACACAGGGCTGTGCACATTGGGGTTAAGAGATGTATAAATACGTCACTAAGGGGGTGGATTTTTCGCACCCCGCAGTGGCACAGTTGATGTACACACTTGTGTACACTGAAATGATATAAACATGACAACACACACTAATTTAGCAGGCTGCAGGCTTTATGAAATGCTCTGATGGACACAGGGTGGGCACCACAGCAGTACTCTGTTGGCACTCGCTCCAGAGGAACGAAACATACCCGTGCAGCAATTTCCCAGGACTTATTACAGCCTGACACGTCTCCTACTCTTGTTCTTGAAGGCAAACAGCAAATGCCAAACTTTCATCCTAGCCAAGGGGAGACAAACCAATAAATACCAAACCTCATATGAGCATTGGGTGGCAGCCCAACCAGCCCTCACCTGAGCAGGAAGGGCTGAGGTAGAGCTCTGGTCAGGGCTGTCAAATCCCCCCAGGGTAAGGAATGAAAAATCTATTCAGGGATCCTCAACCAAAGTGTCTTCAGGAAGGTCACATGATGCTGATCACTGAACTCATGGGTAGATTAACAGTACAGCAAACACCCCCACTTTGCCCATATTTGGAGACTCCTCCGAGCATCACAAACACTCCTCCCCCTCCACTAATAATTTAACTTTATAACACATCACCACCAAGTGGGAAAGGATAATTATTGCGATTTTACAGATAAATACACCACAGGAGAGAAAAGTGAAGTGACTTGGGATTCCTCATACGCAGCAAGTTTAAAATGACTAAAGGAAATATTTCTTCACACGATCCACAGCTGAACTGTGGAACTCCTTGCCAGAGGATGTTGTGAAGGCCAAATGTATAACTGGTTTAAAAAAATCCAGCTAAGATTCTGGAGGTTAGGTCCATCAATGGCTACTAGCCAGGATGGGCAGGGACAGTGCTCCTGGAGGCTGGAGCTGGGTAACAGGGGAGGGATTGCTTATCATAGAATTCTAGAACTGGAAGGGATCTCGAGAGGTCGAGTCCAGTCCCTGCCCTCACAGCAGGACCAAGCGCTACTCGGCTTTGGAAGCCCTGGGGGCCCAACGATACTCACAACATATGCCGAGGGCTGCAATTTAAGTGTGGTTGCATATACACACAGATATATGCAAATATATGCAAATAGCTTATTTCACAGTGATGGGCATGAACACAACATTTCAGGCAAGACTACACCACATCAGGCCCCATTTAAGTCTGTTCTGCTATTAATAAAATGCGGCATTGGCCCGATTTCCATCCATGTGTCAGCATCTGTAACGAGCAGCGACAGCCCAGGGATTTAACTAACTGCATCCCAACAGCGGGCCCTTATAGTGACTCGTTTCCGCTTCCGCCCTGGGCTAGACCCGCCCAGGCCAGCGTCCTTCTGACCTGCTCTGCAACCGCCCCGGGGGGAGACTCCACAGCC